GTTGTAGAGACCTACAGTAGTTGTAGAGAACTACAGTATTGGTATAATTTAATATTACTATATTGTAGTTGTATTACCATAGCAACAATAATTACCACACTAAATACTTAAAATAATCTACTATTGTATGGTTCAAAAGCACTATTTACAATAAATATTTTTTTTCATGTTGTAACAGATCTGTTACAAGATTTTCAGCTGTAATACACAACAAAGCTTAACAATTCAATGTGTTCTTTTTATAGTTGCATCCTGTGACATCTTTAGTCTTCTTTAGATGTCTTTAGTTAATTGAAATATCTCTAGGTTGTATTGCATTCAAATTTCAGTCAAACTGCAACAGAGTTAGTGGAAGTGGACTATTGAAAAAATGGGTCTTAGTCCAGTTAAGTGCACAACAATAGTTTAGACAGTAGCACTCTTACATCCTCAAATGAACCAAACTAACAGAGAAATCACATCAACATCAACATCACATCGTCAGTCTAACCTAACCAAACATACAAACAAAAAAGTGTTAATGAAAGAATAATTCTATTAAATTTTTCTTTTCTACTATAGTGTTTTTATGCTCATACAGTACATGATCACCAGCCTGTAGACCATTTTGTTGTGGTCGTGTACATTGTCCCATGTACATTTTCTGCTTGTTATCAAACTATTTCACAACTGTAACAAGAGGCAATTCATTCATAACTTAATGTTAAAACAGCTTTAATAACATTATTTATCAATATGTAGTTGTTTTTAAATTCTCAGAAGCTATAGAAATTAAAAATGCAAAACAAGAAATACGCTGGCTTGGACCATTGTTTTTGTTTACATCACCTAAAATGGTCTATGTGAAAAACAATGATTTTTTTGTTGATACAATGAATGAACATTTCTCATCTTATATTCTCTTTTGTTAAATGAGCAAAAACAGTTGAAACTATTAATCAATGTGGGAAAAGAATATTTGATTTGAGAGTCTTAGTAGAACTTGATTTATTGTTATATTTGAATTAGAGAAGAATACTAAAAATATGTTTCTACAAAAGTTGTGACCACACTGTAAAAAAAGTAATGACAAAAAATATATAGTTATTTAGGTTTCAATTACATTTTTTTTAGTTACATAACGTAGTTAGTTTAACTTAATATTTTAGTCAGTTTGATTGATTTAAAAGGCGAGGCAGTGGCGCAGTAGGTAGTGGAGTGTGGACTGTGTGGAGTTTGAATGTTCTCCCTGTGATCGCGTGGGTTACCTCCGGGTTCTCCGGTTTCCCCCACAGTCCAAAGACATGCGGTACAGGTGAATTGGGTAGGCTAAATTGTCCATAGTGTATGAGTGTGTGTAAATATGTGTGTATGTTTCCCAGAGTTGCGGCTGGAAGGGCATCCGCTGCGTAAAAACTTGCTGGATAAGTTGGCGGTTCATTCCACTGTGGCGACCTCGGATTAATAAAGGGACTAAGCTGACAAGAAAATGAATTAATGAATGAATGAATGAAAGATGTACGTTAAGATGACCAACTAAAAAATTAAGGCAGCAACAATTTTTTTACAGTGCACACTTACTGTAGATACTCCAGTATTTGTTCAACATATGCCCAGATGCTGTTGTCTATCTAAAAACTATTTGTTTTCTGTTTTAGCATATCTAGCATGTCCTCAGCAAAATTAGTAGGTAACTATTATTTAGAATTGACCATCGGTTTGCGTTTACCTGACTTATGTATACTGTTGCTGCAGTTTTCACTCTTATTTGCAATGTCATTGTTCAGAATATGTGTGCTCAATTACAGTAATATTTGTTTTGCATATAGGTAAAATTATGTCCTTATAATAATGCCATTTTTTAAAAAGTTGAATAGAACAAATACAGTACACTCACTAGCCACTTTACTAGGTACACCTTGCTAGTACGGAGTTGGACCCCCGCTTGCCTTCAGAACATCCTTAACTTTCGTGGCATGGATTCAACAAGGTACTGGAAATATTCCTCAGTGATATTGGTCCATATTGACATGATAGCATCACACATTGCTGCAGATTTGTCTGCTGCACATCCGTGATGCTAATCTCCATCACATACCAAAGGTGCTATTTTCAATATCTGGTGATTGTGGAGGCCATTTGAGTGCAGTGAACTCATTGTCATGTACAAAAAACCAGCACGAGATGATTCACGCTTTATGACATGTTGCATTATCCTGCTGGAAGTAGCCATCAGGAGATGGGTACACTGTGGTCATAAAGGAATAGACATGGTCAGCAACAATATTGGGAAGGCTTTGGCATTGACATGATGCTTAGTTGGTACTATTGGGCTCAACTTGTCGCAAGAAAATTACACATGTTGCTGACGTCAAATTCTGACCCTGAATGTCGCAGCAGAAATCGAAACTCATCAGACCAGGCAATGTTTTTCCAATCTTCTATTGTACAATTTTGGTGAGTCTGTGCAAATTGTAGCCCCATTTTCCTGTTCTTAGCTGAAAGGAGTGGCACCTGAGTGGTCTTCTGCTGCTGTAGCCCAGCCACCTCAAGGTTGGATGTGTTGTGCGTTCAGAGATGCTCTTCTGCATACCTCAGTTGCACACCTGTTGTTATTTGAGTTACTGTTGCTTTTCTATCAGCTGGAACCAGTCTGGCTATTCTCCTCTAACCTCTGGCATCACCACAGAACTGCAGCTCACTGGATATTTTCTCTTTTTCGGAAAACTCTCTGTAAGCCCTAGAGATCCCCACCAACCATGCCACGTTCAAAGTCACTTAAATCACCATTCTTTCCCATTCTGATGATCGATTTGAACTGCAGCAGATCGTCTCGACCATGTCTACATGCCTAAATGCATTGAGTTGCTGCCATGTGATTGGCTGTTTAGAAATTTCCATTAGCAAGAAGTTGGACAGGTGTACCTAATAAAGTGGCCGGTGAGTGTATATTTAAGTTAATACTTAATACTAAGTTAATAAACTGACAGTAATAAGCAGTTTTATTTTTGTAAGCTCAGTCAGTTTTTGGTAGAGTATAACTTCTCTGTTCTGCAGAATACAAGTAATAACATCTCTTCAAAACAGCTTTTTATTTTCCTTCAGGAATCTGATTTTCTATCTGCCATCAAGTGGATGTTAAGTGGATGGATGATTCAACATAGCAAAAATGACACACTTGACCTTTGAAGTTTTGTTTTGCTTTGTTTTAACCTGAGTTTAACCTTTATGTCTGAGTGCAAACAGACATAAGAAAACGAACACGCATCAATTTTCAGTTCTGTCAAGGCCAAAAAATCTTAACCAGCCGGTCTCTAATAAGAGCTGATGTAAATATGTGCTTAGATTCATGTCAGTATGATAGTTATACGCTGACACTGAGGTTCACTCTTTCATGGCCTTCATCCGGATGAAAAAGCTGTAAGCTTGGGTCATTGTTTCAGGGTTTTGTGTTGGTATGTGTTGATAGCGCAGGCTCGCTCATTTCAAATATGTCAACACTGGCTTTACAGTCAAAGGCAGAAGAATTAGAAAGCTTTCATCGCAATCACACATGCACATTCTCTGGGAACACAAAGCCGGCTGACAAACCGATGAAAACACAACCTGCTAAATGGAAAAAACCCATAATGTAAACGCGTAATAAATGAGCTTTACTGTGTAGCAATGTATCTTCACCAACACAGATGCCATTACTTACATAACAAAGAGCAGCAATAATAAAACCTGAGATGGCCCAAAGAGATCTACTGTCACTCCACACTCACAAAATAAACACAGCTGGCAGACAAACCACAGTCGTTCATTGTCACAGTCAAGACCGGTGAGAGCAGCCATAATAAACACTAGGATCAATACAAGCTATTGAACAAGCTAATCAAGTCCTCCTGTGGGAACTATTACCCCTGAGAAACAAAAGACCTGTTCAATAATGTGAGCCTTCACATCTAAAGTAAAAATTTCCTAAATAATAAAACAATGCCTAAATCAAAAGACCTACTCCACATCTGTATGCTATGTAGTACACTTGCTTCATATGTGCACTGTAAAAAATGCTGGGTTCCACGCAATTCCTCCATGTTGTCCCAACACAAATCGCTTTAAGATAACTTCATCGTTTTTACAAATTTAAGTGGGTTAAACATAAAACAATTAAGTTGTCTAAAAAAAAAACCTTAAGAATTGTGTTGCTTTAACTCATTTTAAATAATGTGTTTAATAAAATAATAAACACAACATTGTTTTTTTTCTGAGTTGTATGGAATTTACATTACACATATTTGATATGATGAATTAATTGGTTTCTCTGTCATTCAAAAAAAGCACTGGTCAAGATTCAGGCATGTGTGTGTGAAATTTGGCATTCTATTGTAATGCTGTTAAGATGTTTTGTGGACGAGGAGCACCACCTTGTGGTGAAAACTTGGATTTGTTTATACTGTTTTAGTTTTAGCTTGCAGTCCTATTGAAATGCAGGAGGTTTGTGTAATCATTACTTTGTTTTCCAAAAGCTCTTAAATACAACAACATCTATCATAGCAACAAACTCAGATGCATATATAAAAGTATTTTCCTGGTTAAACATGTGCCAGAGTTAACTTGGGAGTGATGCCAGGAAAAACATGGATTTAAATCTGAACCTGATATTTGAAACTTGAAAGTCAAAAGAAATAAATAGACCACAGCATGTGATTCACTGTAGAGCTTTGTGAAAATATCAACGTGGACTCGACTACAATGCCATATTTTAAGCCTTTAGACAACTAACTTCATGTGTTTATTATTTTATAAAGAAACAGTGCGAAGTGATTATGATGTCTCTAAGGACAAATACAAAATTAGTCTCTTTTGTTTTAGTTTTAGATTTAAACATTTATGCAGGGTATCAAAAGAAAAGAAAGAAAAGAAAAGAATTAATAGAAAGGCAAACACTTCAGTACTTCTCAAAAAATGCTATAATTTTTTGTTATATTGTGCCTTTTGGTATTTCAGCTATGATATTACAGCCGGAAGTCAATTACCTTGCTAAATTTGTAAATATTTCATACTCCGTGGCCAGTCTGTCCTCCTTTCCAATGGCTTCTTGTGCTACTATGTCTCCTAAGACGATCTCTGCCTTCTGAAAGCTTGACTCGGCTTCTGCTAAAGTTCACATAGTTAAGAACTCATAAGAGGTCTATTAACCTATAACTGAACTATTATCTGGAACAACAGTCCATTTGACAAATTATCCACTCTTTTCTACTCCAAAGGCAAAGTTTAATAATGTCAAATACACATATTATATCCCTAAAAGATGCTCTTAAGAATATAATATATGAATATGAATGCTTTTGTAAACAAGGATATTTTCCAAGATGCAGAGCAGCACTTCCATGAGTTTGATGTATGGAAAGAAAGCAGTTAAGGCAGCTCAATCTCTCCTCCTGCTGACACAAACTGAGTACTTCATGTGCTTGCGATGCATGTTCCTGTGCTTGATGTGCCCATCCTGGAAAACGAGAAGGACAAACAGAGTAGTTTTGTTTCAATGATAATATGTTTGATGTTCATTATTCTTATTTATATGTATTTAAATGCATTACATAAATAAAGCTTAAGACTTTTTTTGGCTATTAATTTACTCACACTCACTCATCTTTAGTAATTCATAAAATGCAAGTCAACAGCTATCAGTAAATTGAGTGAAAAAACACTAATGAAGCTAAATGATGCAAGGAACTGTACATTTTTACAACATTATTATCTTCAATCCGCAGCCTTGGCTAACAGTCAGTTGTGTATTTTCTCAATAGTCTAAAAAGCAGTCATGACAGATACTAATGTTGTAGCGGTATTTATTTGGCTAATTAAATGGGTTGGACGCCAGGGTTAGAAAACCCCACTACAGTTATTAAAATAATTTCATTTGTAAAAAAAATTACTATTCAACAAATGTATGATTAAATCAAGTAAACCAAAATCAAATGTTCAATCAACTGTATCAATGCATTAAAAAGGGGGAAAAAACAGAAACAAAGCAAACAAGCTTTAACTTCAACACATTTTAGCTCAACGCATAAACCAAACACACTTATATTTCCAGGCCCAGGCACAATACATATTAAAACACTTTACAATGCAATCAACAGGTGATAAAATATAAAATAAGTTTCCATATAATATATAAATATAAAGACTATAAGTAAGATATAAATAACGTAAGATATAATAAGATATAAATCAGGTAAATCACTTCAGAATATATAAAACCAATATTAATCAAATTTACGCACAAACAAATAATATTAACTCAAAGCCAAAATCATCACACATCAACAAATTTAAATAACTCGTTCTTGCAATTTTAAAATAGTAGATTTTCCATTTGTCCATGCTGAAACAAATGTGTAATCAAAGGACCTGAGATAAAATAAACAGCCATTTTTTGGGGTGAACTGTCCCTTTAATAATTTTACCTTTGTATTGCAAGTAAGCTTTAGCTAGTCTTGACTGGGCTTGGGCCACTGCAAAATGCTCATTTCCATAAACCAGTCTGCTCAGTGCCAGGCAGCGGATAAGCTCTTGGATACATGGGTCATACTGCAAGGTCAAACAAATATCAAACAATCAACTACTAGACAAATGAAAATACCATGATTCTATAGAAGTATTTAAAAGAGATAGAGAGAATACATTATTGTGAACATGCCTGGTGTGATTTTTTTTATTATGATAATGTATTATTGATATGCTGTGGGACTAATATGGTTACCTAACGCATAATTTATATATTGCAGAGCACAGTATTATTCTATGCATACCTCTTCACTATCAGCAAAAGAATGAGCCCGTCTCTCACAAAGAGATAGTTTCTCTGCAGGAGTCATCATGCTGTAATTCTTTCCATCTTCTTTCTGTGAAATTATTGTTGAATCTGCTTCCTGAAGGTATTCTCCAGAACTGCCACTGCTGCTCATGTTGAAGCTGGTGAATCTGCAAAAGTTCTGAGCTAAGCAGTTTTTCAAAACATGATGAATTATACCTACAATATTAGGTGTTGAGAAACATCCCACTTTCACTGCATGGAGTTCGGATGTAAAAAAAAAAAAAAATTAAGTACCATTTGATTTTTTTCTTCTAAAATGCATATTTCCAATAGCGGTAAAGTTGATTTTATATTCACATTTTCATTCATTTAGAAGTCTCTATACTGTTTACCATGTTACTTTGAATATTCGATTGGAATTAGCATGCAAGTGTGACTTGAAAACAACATTAACACTGTTTGTTTGACTGTGAACAATGTTGTACTTTGATAGTCATTGGCGGGTAATATGATTTCACTGTTTAGAGTTTGCAAATAATACTTTTATAAAATTATATTATTAAGGGGAAAGTCTGAATGTGCGAATATAAAACCAATTTTACCTCTATATATTACCACAGCCTTTCATGTTTCTGTAAACCTAATTCACTTTTTAAAGATAATAAAAAATCTATTCTCTGCTATTAAAGTGAAATCACAAAACCTAAATACAGAAAACTAAAAGAAAAAGTGTGTTTTAGAAGACAATTTCAGATGGCACTTCTGCATCTGAATGAGAAATTGGTCAGAGTAGGAGTTGAGCTGAGAGCTGAGGAGTCCCTAACAATCTCATTCTGACCCCTCATTTTGTTTTCCCACAGACCAAATAATGTCAAACTGGTTTTAAACGACTAGAAAGAGAAAACAATAAGAGAATGTTCCGTTTTTGACTGAACTATTAGAAAAATGAATACATACGATTCATCCAGCGCAGTGACTGTGCAGTCCTGCTGTGATGCGCCAAACGGTCCGCTGTGCGGTGCCAGGCTCATTTTAATGGCGAAGGCAAAAGACACTCAGCAGTCAAATTACAGTACAAGCCGGCTTTTGATTGATGGTAAGAATGATTTCTCTTTTATATTGCTCTTCAAAGACTGCAACGATCTTTTCAGGCACACTGGAAGTCAGAGCTGTGCCTGTGCAACCGAGAAACGACTATCACGAAACCCAAACAAACGCTGTGATTGGCTGATTCCTACACATGGGCGGGTCATGTGACTCTCAAGTTACTACATTGATAAATAATAATTGAGCATTTTAACGCCATAATGCTTCTGTTCTTACATACATCTGAACCTTTATATTTTTAGCAGTTAATTTCTTCAGAAGTATTTTAAATATTTCCAATAATGTACTTGTTGGATATTGCTCATTTATAATTGAATATTTAAAATGTAGTATCTCGTAAAAATAGCAATAATTTCTGATTATCTAATTCAATATCTTATGCGTTTATCAAATTTGTAACATTTACAATAATACTGCATTTATAGAAAAAGGTCCCATTTAAGTAGCCTACTAAATATTAAGTGTCCTATAGTCTTTGTTAATTCATTCATTCATTTTCTTTTCGGCTTAGTCCCTTTATTAATCATGGGTCGCCACAGCGGAATGAACTGCCAACTTATCCAGCATATGTTTAACACAGAGGATGCCTTTCGAGCTGCAACACAGTACTGGGAAACATCCATACACTCTCATTCACACACATACACTATGGACAATTTAGCTTACCTAATTCAAAGCCACCACACCGCTCAATGTCTTTGTTAATAGTTTTTAGTAAAACTGCTAAATTGTTAACGGAGGGAGTGCTAACCTGAAGGACTTATACCTATAGTTAAGTTACCCATTTATATTTATGGCAGAAAGAAAAACCGTTTATGCATGTTGACAGCAGAGTTTATTATAAATACTTTAAATTATACATAAATAAATTACATACAATATTGTATATAGTGATATACCTGTTCATACATTTTAAAATTTTGTAAAATATTTTTATTCTCTATTTACTACTTTCTTTCTTAATGCCTTTATTATCTGTGATGTTTTGTCCAGTACTGTCATTCTGTTGAACTATGGAAACAGAATACATGAATACAAGTTGCTTGTATGTGTAAACATCCCAATACAGCTCTTTCTGATTCTGATAATAAATTGGATTTCAATGGGATTGTGTAGCCTATAAATAAACTAAAACCCCATTGCTGAGTATATGTATTGCAAATGGCCATCTATTTTGAAAAAAACATGAACCACATTATCATAAGCCCACATTGTGGGTAGCTGACATGCAGTGCATTATGAACAGGTCTTATATAGCCTGCAAAACAACAAAGGTATCCAATTACAACCTTGAGCATTCAGTCGTCTTGAGGGTTTAATACCACTTAAAAAATATTTAAGACTGAAACATTTAAGGACAGTGAGCAATTCATTTAAGATATTATAGTTTTTCCCAGTGGCTTTGGTGCATTTCTCACAACACTATTTACATTTGCACAACAGTTAATGCATTTCTCAAAACAATTAGTCATTTGTGCACATCATAGTAGCATAGTAGTTTCATAGTAGTTTCTCATTATTTTCAACAAATTGCAGATGCATTTGAACATGCATTAATTGCTTATACAACTCTCTGCTATTTTATAAAATCATCATTTGCTTATGTCATGTCAGTCAAAATGAACTAAACCTGTGAATGCTGAATAGTCATTCCATATTAAACTAATAGACCTCATTTCATTACTCGAGTCATTACATACAAAAATGTTGAACTAGTTGTCAAAATCTGTTAAAATAATTTATAAAAAATTGCATTTTTTTTTTCTGAAAATGTCTTCTAAATTGAACAATTTCATGAATGATTTACAGACCTGTGTATGTTGAAAGTTCAGTTCCAATATGTACTGCTATATTGTTTACAGTTGTGCACAGCTCTACCCAAAGAAAGTTTATGTTTGTTGTAAATAAGGCTGTGTTTATTCTTTTGCATATTGCTGTGAATAGTTTAGAATTTCAAAGAGCAAATGCAGTAAAAATGTGAAACCTACATTTTCAGTGTCTTGTACTCAGATACCTCACTAAATGCAGTGATGTCTAACTTTACTGCAGTTTTCAAATGGCTGTACAAATAGTATATAGTGCTGTCTTGAGCATTTTCAGGAAGTGTCACCAAAATCTGACTTTTTTTGCACTAGAAAAAAATGTGCAGAGTACACTGTCATAATGCAAACATGATAAAGCCATTTGACTGGAATACTTGCTTTTGAGGAATAATGCAGGTTATCAGCTAGGTTTTGCAATTTGTACTAATTGTTTTGAGAAATGCATTGACTGCTGTGCAAATGTAAATAGTGTTGTGAGAAATGCACCAAAGCGACTGAGAAAAACTGTTATCAGGAGTCACCACAGCGGAATGAACCGCCAACCTATCCAGCATATGTTTTTACACAGCGGATGCCTTTTCAGCTGCAATCCATCACTGGGAAAACAAACAACAAATAACAGAAATTATATTTCTCCATTTGGTGGATAAATTAATTTATAAATGATTCAATGTTGAGTTTGTGTTATATTCATCATTTGCATGTGTTTTTGATGCCTGTGATTGTATGATTTTAAAAGCATTCAGGCATAAGAAATTGTACCATTTGTGTCCTTAACTATAATTAAGTTTATTGAATTATTTTTATCATTCAGTTACAATACTGTTAGACTCGAGCAACAATAAAACACTTTATTTCAATTGTATCTTTTTCTTGATTGTATTTAGAGATTGTTGTTCATGAAAATACTCACAACACATGCAAATACAGAAATGCACCGCAAATAACACAGACCACAACGAAAATGGGCTGGGGGACCCCAAAAAATAGATTTATAGATTGTTTATTTATGTTATAAATTCTTTCCAAATAGAGATATTAGGTCAACTGATGAAATTGTATTCATATCACAATATATTTTGCAAAATAAAAACTATTGCAATGTTAGATAGATAGATAGATAGATAGATAGATAGATAGATAGATAGATAGATAGATAGATAGATAGATAGATAGATAGATAGATAGATAGATAGATAGATAGATAGATTTTGGACGACACTAGGCTAATTTAGGCCTAAAATCTTGCTGTTGACCATTACTACCCACAGATGCATGCAGTGACCCACTATTAGAGATATCTGTCTGGCTATACTCATACACATTATGTTGGTTATATCACCATTGCCTTTGTCATTTTGAGTTGTTTGCTGTTCACTCCTCACCTGTGTAGGCAGCCTTCATAAAGTTATGCAATGAAGTGCAGTCTGTTTTACATTTGTGTATCAGACACACAAACACCATAGTGTATTAGAGTTTGCACTATTAAAGTGGGCATAGCTATTAATTTCCCGTCCATCTCTTTTTGACAATTTAAACAAAAGGTCAAGCCTACTCCTTGGAATTTGTTTCAGTTTTAGGGGGATCCAAACATGCCACTTTTTGAACCTATGCTACATGTTTTTGTACGACATCTTGAGCCTACATGTTCAAAAATTCAGGGCACTGAAAAACAAGCTCCATTCATCTCCATCTTATAGGGAACCTTTAAATACAAACTCGACTGGCGACAGAGAGGTTAACCCAAGCACTACAAAAATAGGAGCGCGTTCGTGTCACTCCCTCAAGGCTGTTGTTGGTTCACACCTCCTCTTTTCAGGTTTACATCTGGACTGAGCTTCACAACCTGCTCCCGTCAAAATCTAGTCCAACGTGCGTCCACAGCCCTGCTCAACGCATTTACCGGCGAAAGATGAGTACTCGGCTTTTTGCAATAGTCCTGCAGCAGTGTAATAGTTAAAATGAGTGGCGAATGCGTTATTTGATGTGTGTGTGGAGCCTGAGCCTGAGCAGTCCTCTACAGTGAGAAGATGGCGTCGGACGGAGCGAAAGGGGAGCAGCCGCCTCCGCTACAAACACTAGTAACCACTGGCCATGGAAGCGTCGAGGCGGTGAGACGCATTTACGCATAAAATGCCATTTGTCTGCCGCGATAGGTCATTAAGACGAATGTTAAATTTGACATTGGATGAATGATGTTTATAGAATAGGAATCGTCCTGTGCTGTGAATCATAACGATCAGTGGATGCTACGGTCTGTATGTTGAGAAGACTGAAAGATTTTTTTGTATGTTTGTGGTTTTGTAATTGCGGGATACTTTTTCATGATTTGATATCAAGATCGCATTTTTATTTATATTTTTATTTGGGGCAGAGGTTTTTCGTTGAAGTACGGGATTTTTTTCTTATCGTGGGCTATGTTTAATGTGCAGCTGCAAGCGAGTTGATATTACCATGGTAAGAAAATGGTTATAAGGTTGCCTTACACTTACTTAATATTTAACAGTTGTAATATGTGATATCTGATTGTCATTTAACACGATAGTTGAAATCGTTCTAATATATAGCCTATATATCATTATGCATTATATTTCTAAAATGTTTAATTTCATTCTCTTTTGTATCTGACTCATTAGATAGATGGGTAATAAAATGCGTAATAAATTGTTTGTTTTTAAAATAGCATAATAAATAGTTTGTGTCTATATATAAGGTATCTAAGCCTATATTGTTATTACTATCAATATATTTTATATAGGCCTAAAGGTCTGTATATATATATATATATATATATATATATATATATATATATATATATGACAACACGGTGATGCAGTAGGTAGTGCTGTCGCCTCACAGCAAGAAGGTCGCTGGTTTGAATTTGCATGTTCTCCTTGTGCTCGTGTGGGTGTCCTCCGGTTGCTCTGGTTTCCCCCACAAGTCCAAAGACATGGGGTATAAGTGAACTGTGTAAGCTAAATTGTCCAAAGTGTATGTGAGTGAATGAGAATGTATGGGTGTTCCCCAGTGATAGGTTGCAGCTAGAAGGGCATCCGCTGCGTAAAACATATATTGAATAAGTTGGTGGATCATTCCACTGTTGCGACCCCTGATTAATAAAAGGACTAAGCTGAAAAGAAAATGAATGAATATGTGCGTGTGATTGAGTGTGTGTGTGTGTGTGTGTGTGTGTGTGTGTGTGTGTGTGTGTGCATGTGCGTGTATGTATACTGTACATATATGTATGTATGTACACACACACACACACACAAATTA